GTCGTTATAATTTCTTATGTCTTTTATATATATTGTTAAATATTCCGTTTGTTGGTTTCTCTACTTCATTTTGGTTCGGCTTGATGCATTGGATTGATATCTTTTGATGTTGATTGGGTAGCCGTTCTTTTGAAAGATAGTCTTAAGATATCTTCTTCCAAAATATATGTAAAGGTGTATGAAAATGGTTATTTTGTCTGAAAATATTGTTTGATATACTCATTGTTGTCATAAACATTACAATAGTGAGCTTCAAAACCGAAATACTTCTGATACAGACAAATTATACTTAGCTATCAATCTGTATGTTGGTTACTAGGTGATTGAGTGTCGTCCTCATTTGTGCTCCGGTTCATTTTCCGTCAAGTATATTTCACTACTGTCTTATTTATTTCTGGTTTGGTCAGTTTTGTCAATCAAAGGAAAATCTTTATTTACAGGCGAATATAGAGTCACTATATAATTGACTACAGTAATAAGTTTAGCGACTTTAAAAATTTTACTATTTACTTTGACCTGGATTTTACCCAATAATCTTCTGGATGTAAATCATTCTATTCCCAAAGTATTTTCTGCCTTATATTTTTCTTTAGGATATATTCCATATTTCGTGAATAGTGTGCACTGATCGTTTCTTTTGGGCATGGTGACAAAACCATCTCCTGATTAATACTGAAACCAATAACATTTCATTTAAATCACAAACCTGGTATAAAGAAATGTCATGAGACTGTGAAGCGTTCACAGTAATATGAATGCATTATAATTCACGGAATTAGCAAGTAATAAGATGGGTTACGTAATAATTCGTTTCCTTTTTTACAGTTATATAGCGATCTGTTAAAGTACCCTGTCACTTATCCACGCTTACTTGGTCCTATTCAAATTCTACGTAACCCAACTTATCAATTTTTAAATGCATGGATCCTTTATAACCTATAAAATTTTCACACCACTTATACGTCTGTGAACTCTACTCGACCCACCCACCCTTAATGTATCCTTTCTTCTATAAATAAATGACCTTTGACCTGCATATATGCATATGTACTTTGTTATTATTGATGACCTACTTTATTTCAACTATTTATATTTACTTATATCAACTGCTTCATACCTAAATGTTAAATTGTAATGCACATTTCGTTGTAAGCAGCTGAGAAGAAACCACGAAATATAATGAATGCCTATTCAGTAAGACTTTACGTCCTTCTTAATTCTTACAGACACTGACTCGTGGACAATATCCCCAACAACGAAGGAATGAAAGGAAAACGAAAATTATGAAGTACTTTATTTAACTTTTTAGCATAAAAACTTGTTTACAGGTTATCATTAATGATTCTTAAATAATAACTGTTCACTTTCTTCTCAAATTCCGTTGCGAAACTTTCACCATACTTCCATAGGATATGACGCCTGTTAATTTTTTGGCTTCGCAGAACACTTATATACTCATTTCTTTGTGTCGATAGTGCTATTGATGTGTCATTTCGCAAGTTATTGGTAACACGTAACTTCCACCTGCAGTACCTAAGAAGTTCATTAGCTATACAGTTTATATTTCAAAATCAATATAGCTTACCTGAAAGAGTTCGTCTTTTAAAATATACGAGTAGCAGATGGCGGCATGGGTATCGACACATAAGAAATGTACTACATTCACATTCAAAAGTATTTAGATCCACTGCATAAAGCTTCCCGCAATCAACAATAGACACCGTCTCCGGCTTCATATCCCACAGAAACAAAACGCATATGTTTAAGTTCGTATAAAACTTTAGCTCGCGCGTATGGCGTAAGCATTTTCAACAACGTGTGTGATACGGACAGCCGCGCTTTCTGATCTTGCACAGTCCATAACAAATGTTTCTGTCCGTCTTGTTGTTCCCATGATTTCTTTAAAATTGTCTAGAATCCAGGTGACATCTGCACGCATTTCCTTTAGCGTCCAGGCAAACATGACCGTACGTCCTCGACCAAAGTTTTCCGTCACAACCAACTGAAATAAGGAATATCTACAAAATAGAATACAAGCAAAAGAACAATCACTTCTTATTATTGGTATTATAAGTAGAATCAATGCAAACAACTTCCGGATATTCATTGTACAAGTGCATTTGGTCATAACTACTGAAACATATTCTCGTTACATATCCATTTTCTAAATGTTTCCTAACTTCACCTTTCTGTCGCAGCAAATCCATAACATTTTTACGCGTACAACAACCTGAAATATACTTTTATACACTTACCTGTGGAGAGTTCAGCTTTCATAGACTTGACATCAACAACAGTGACCACCTTACCAGTTCTCTCATTGACACATTCTATAAATTCATCAGTTGACTGCGACTGCAAAATGACTGGCTTTAAATTCTTTTTTCTTCCGATGGTAATCTTCTTGTCCATGGATCACAAACCATCCATGAACTACTACATGGATGATTGTGGAGCATCTTGTAGGATTTGATGACATATCCTTCCGCCTCCAGTCTTACACGGAACTTTGATTGACAATTAAGGAATTTAGACCTTAAACGTCACATATCAGATAAAGTTCTCACGATTTTCGATTCACTTTCAAACCTTCTGATTTCCGCTTATGACCAAATGTACAATGAAAAGCAACAAACAGGTACTTGAACCTGACATCCTTCAGCAACCTGCTTTCTGCGTGGATGTAATGAGTGCACGTAGTCTGAGAAATGATAAAATCACTCTTCCATACTTTTAGGGCGTTATCAAAGTCATCACTACGGAATGCCTGAGAAGATAGTTAACATCACACGAAATTCCTATGATAGATTAAACTGCAAAATCGTGCATAGAGGACAACTGACAGACTCGTTCGAGGTAAAGACTGATGTCAGGTAACGTTGCTTACTCTTACCCTTTCTCTTTCTCCTGGTGATCGACTGGGTTATGAAGACGTCAACATCTGAGGAGAAGCATGGGATACAATGGACAACAGCTGGACGGTCTGAACTTCTCAGATGATATAGGTATTCTATCGCACACGCAACAACAAACGTAGGAGACTGCCCGTGCAGCAGCAGCCTCAGCAACAGTGGGCCTCAACATACACAAAGGAAAAATCAAGATTCTCCGATACAATTCAGCATGCAACAATCGAATCACGCTGGAGGGAGAAGATTTGGAAGACGTAAAAGCCTTTACATATTTGGGCAGCATCATTAATGAACACGGTGGATTTGATGCAGGTGTTAAGGCGCGGATCGGAAAAACAAGAGCAGTATATTTACAATTGGAGAACATCTGGAACTCAAAACAACTGTCTACAATTGAACACGAAAGTCAAGATTTTCAATACAAATTTCAAGACAGTTCTACCGTAGGTGGCGTAAACTTGGATAACCACGAAAGCCATCATCCAGAAGATACAAGTGTTTATTAACAGTTGTCGACCCAAAACACTTCGGATCCGTTGGCCAGACACTGTCAGCAACAACCTACTATGTGAGGAAACAAACCAGATTCCAGTGGAGGATGAAATCAGGAAGAATTGCTGGAAGTGGATAGTACACACATTGAGGAAAGCACCCAACTGCGTCACTAGGCAAGTACTCACATAGAATCCTCAAGGTAGAAGGAGGAGAGGAAGAACAAAGAATACATTACGCCGAGAAATGGCAACAGACATGAGAAAAATGAAAAAAATTTTATAGAACTGGAAAAAAGGTCTCAGTAAAGATAGGGTTAAGAACGCTGGTAGGTGGCTAATGCTTCACTGGGGGTAACAGGAGTACGCAAGTAAGTAAGAAAAGCATTGACGCAGGCGTCTTAAATAGAACATACTTCAGAGTGTGTCTAAAAGTTTGAGATTAGTAATATATTGATACGTGAAGAAAAGCGTAGACACAAGCAAAGCACTAAAGCTGTCAGGAAGCAACCAAAAATAAAACTCAATAACACAGTTGTTTGGGTAGAACACCACATCGGCATTTTGTCAACTAGTCACGACTCACAATATCGCGCATTTGATGGGGCTAAATTATTAGCCAGTCAAGGATGGAAACTAAGGAACATATTACGTCGGGAAATAGAAACAGATAAAAAAGGATGAATAAAAACTGGAAATAAGTTGGAAGGGCTGTCCATGTCTGGGTTAGATGGGGAGCCCTGATGGGCGGCCTATGCTACTCCACGAGAAGTAACAGGAGTATGTAAGAATGGACACTGGATAAAGCAGCATCAGAGAAATGACCGCAATCTTCAGCCGGTAAATTCTCGGGAAAATAAACGCAGTTTCATAGCCAGTCTCTATCAATTCGAGAGTTAGAATACACTTTAAAAAATACGTATAGAACATGATTCAAGGAGCAAGAACATAGAGTACATCCTGTTATGTCTGATCATGTTGTGCTCACCAATGACACTACAGCTACCTAGGATGAATAGATGTCAAAAGATGTATTCATCAAATAAAATATGACTCAGTGAAAAGACTTGTCCGAAAGCCTTCATTGGGTTGTTACAACAGTAAAAATGAGATTTTCAAACGTTTACAAAGTAAAGGACCTAAGGAAAACAGATAGCACTGAACACAGATCAGGATTTCGTAATTTAAAAAGTTGAGCATTTACACCAATACACTATTCCACAGGGAGAAATCAATTCTCTGACTTCAGATTCAGGGCTAATCCTCAGTCTAGGAGATGGTCATAAGTGGAAACTGACCCGAAATAGTCTACCACAGCCTCTGCTTTTTCCTGGTCTTCCTCCATTGACTGAGATTCATACCCTACTGTAATTGCGTTGAGGAATCAATGGCGCGTCCTTATCCTGTGATTTATGTACAACAACAGTCTCTCTGACTGCCTGGTTCCAGATTGTGCCAACCTATTTCCACATTTTTACTGAGCTACCTGGGTTGTACTTCTACACTTATCTCTGACCGACCTGAAGAGTTCCATCGTATTTGCTGTACCAAGGCTGATGGCAACGCTACAAAACGTTTTCTTTCATCTTGATGATCGTCGAATCTCATGATCCATCCACAAATGACAGTGATTCTTCTTCTCTAGAACTGTCAGTATGTAAATAGCTGAGTTACATGACTGCAATTATGAGACCATGTCACTCCTACTGATGAGATCATATTTTATTTATTTTTAAATCTGCCTTGCTGCGAAAGCCTATTCTCATATCACCAGTTTCTGATGCATGGATTACTAGATTCATTGAGAGTTCAATTTGTTTTAACCATCTTATTCGGAAGTTCCAGAAATCAGTATATATATACGTCAGCTGTTTACGCAGTATTTATTATTGTATTCGAAAATACTCGCGAAATGCAGATATTTGTAAAGACTTTGACTGGTAAGACGATCACGTTGGAGGTGGAGCCTAGTGATACTATTGAGAATGTGAAAGCGAAGATCCAAGACAAAGAAGGTATTCCTCCTGACCAACAGCGTTTGATATTCGCTGGTAAACAGTTGGAAGATGGACGTACTCTGTCTGACTACAACATCCAGAAAGAGTCGACTCTGCATCTTGTCCTTCGTCTACGTGGTGGAATGCAGATATTTGTAAAGACTTTGACTGGTAAGACGATCACGTTGGAGGTGGAGCCTAGTGATACTATTGAGAATGTGAAAGCGAAGATCCAAGACAAAGAAGGTATTCCTCCTGACCAACAGCGTTTGATATTCGCTGGTAAACAGTTGGAAGATGGACGTACTCTGTCTGACTACAACATCCAGAAAGAGTCGACTCTGCATCTTGTCCTTCGTCTACGTGGTGGAATGCAGATCTTTGTGAAGACGTTGACTGGTAAGACGATCACGTTGGAGGTGGAGCCTAGTGATACTATTGAGAATGTGAAAGCGAAGATCCAAGACAAAGAAGGTATTCCTCCTGACCAACAGCGTTTGATATTCGCTGGTAAACAGTTGGAAGATGGACGTACTCTGTCTGACTACAACATCCAGAAAGAGTCGACTCTGCATCTTGTCCTTCGTCTACGTGGTGGAATGCAGATCTTTGTGAAGACGTTGACTGGTAAGACGATCACGTTGGAGGTGGAGCCTAGTGATACTATTGAGAATGTGAAAGCGAAGATCCAAGACAAAGAAGGTATTCCTCCTGACCAACAGCGTTTGATATTCGCTGGTAAACAGTTGGAAGATGGACGTACTCTGTCTGACTACAACATCCAGAAAGAGTCGACTCTGCATCTTGTTCTGCGCCTACGTGGAGGCATGTGATTTTTGTTAAAGTAAAATTAAAAAAAAATAAATTTCAGTTAGATTTTATTTCTAAATGTAGTTCTGTTTTCGCGAGGTCCTGATGATGTTAGTCTGTTGTGTTGTATCAGGTAGTGCATTTTAGGGGTGTAATTTGATCGATGGATATTCGAGCTTGTACAGATTTCAGCTAAGTCATTCACGGTTTAGTCATGTTGTAGAACGAGTTGTTTGGACACAATGTGTTTGATGACATAGGTATTAGGAGTTGTACCATATTGAGTAGGGATACGTGTTCAAAGATTTGTGGGAAAGTAATCGCGAATAAAGTGATTGTCATACTACAACCGATTTCGTGACATTACTTAGTTCTTTACTGTAGATATTGACCGCATATCAGACTTTAGTTTGTATGTCCAACCCACTATTAGCGTCTTCTCCTAGTTCCCGTTCCAGCTGGATGCTGGTTTGTTCGCTCCCGCAGTAAGCTGTTGCTGGTGGTATCCGGCCAACGGACAATGAGTATGTTGTAGGAAATTGCTTATAAATACCTGTACGCTTTTGATGGTGGTTGTAATAGTTCTCGGAGTTTAAGCTCTGTACAGTGGAACTGTCTTGATATTCGTATTGAAGATTCTGACTTTGATATTGGTTTATAGACAGTTGTTTTGAGTTCTATATGTTTCTCAAATGTAGGAATGCTGTCCTTGCTTTGCCAAACCTCCCCTTTGTATCTGCATCAGGTCATCCTTGTTCATCGATGATGCTTCCCAGGTAGGTGAAAGAACGCATCTTCCAGAGTTTCTGCATCAAGTATAATTGGGTTTGTGTTCTCCGTGTTGCATTTGAGGATCGTAGTTTTTCCCTTGTGTATGTCGAGGTCTGTTGCTTCAGAGACTGATGTTACACTGGCTGTCTTGATATACATTTGTTGATGTATACGGTATGGAAAGGCCAGGTCATCTGCGAAGTCTGAACCGTCCAGTTGCATCCAACCTGTCCATTGAATTTCGTGACTCCCTTGAGATGTGGAGATCTTCATAGTCCAATTAACCACCATAAGAAACAGAAAGGACGAGAATAGGTAGTCTTGTTTGACTCCGGTCCTTACTTGGAATGCGTCTGTTAGCCGTCCTACATGCAACACTTTGCACTGTAGTCCGTCGTATGAATTCCGTATGATGTTGACAATGATCTCAGCTACTCACTCCACAGTGTGGAAGAAGTTTCCATAAAGTCCTCCTACACACACTGTTGAATACTTTCTCGTAGCCAAGGAAGTTGATGTATAGCGACGAGTTCCATTCCCCCGAAATCTCCTTGAATAGAACGTGGAGTATGTTCGAAGTTACTTCTATATCTGTCTGCAGTAACAGCAGACAACTGTTCAAACTTGTCAAGGAGCAGCAGGCTCTGACAGGTTTAGCCCTGAGATTTTTAAGGATGGCAGTCAAGTATTGGCAGTGAGATTGACTGAGGTCGTAGGTAGAATCAGGGAACTGGACGTAATCCCGTTTGACTGGTCTCAACTACTGATTGTGCAAGTCTATAAGAAAGGACAAAAGTCCTCTTGTGACAATCACGGAGGAATCAGTCTGACTAATATATTGTACAAAATATTAGCTTCAATAATACTTCGACGCCTAAGTAAAGTTCGTGAAGAGACAACTAGAGAAAAGCAGGCTAGTTTCAGACTTGGACGTGGCTATATAGACCAGATAATAACACTTCGCTTTGATGATTCTGGATCCATGAGATTCTCATTCTATAAGTGTTTTCCATGCTTCTTTGGATAGCATCAAAACAACTCCCTGAGTGTGTGGAGCGTTTTCTTCTTCATGACCAGAGTACAACAGCATCTGTAGCAATTCCTACAGTAAGTATTTCTGTTAGGCTTTAGTTTCTTCTCAAAAGGTTCACTGATGAAACTGATATGACTTGTCCGGATAGAGGATCTTATCGATGACTACTTTGAGAAAATGGAGTCCTATCTTGAGTGTGTTTAATTGTGAGTCTTTTTATCTTTTTGTGAAGGCGTCAGGGATGACTAATCTTAAAGCTAACAAGAAGGTAGATATGTCAGCACATAACTGATCGTTAAGGGTACGAAATTTCAATGTAACCTGGTCTCACATTTGATTATAAGGTAGGGAATTTAAGTGTTGTAATTTCTTATGATGCGAGAAACTGGTCAGGACTTTTACTGTGTTATTACTTACTTGTTAGACATGCTCGAGAGTGTCAGTATCTTTAAAAAGACATGGATTAGCTGCTTGAATGCAGTATTTTAGGTGAAGTGTTAGGTGAGTGGAGTATGAAGTCTGAAATATATTTCCGTCAAGGCATCTAAAGATTTTGCGACACCATTTAGCATCTGTTGCATTGTTGCCGGGCCATGCCATCCGATCAACTCGGAATAATCCAATTCATCGTTCTCACCTTTCTCATTGTCAGGATTTTCTTCGCGTTAAATGTTGAATTTTTATTTCCCATACTGTCTCTTGTTAGGGCCCAATGCCACTAGAGGTTGTCTCTCTGACAACTTTATTGAAATGCGTAACTCCATATGCAGTAGAGCTAATTGTTGTATCGTAGTTTAAAATCTCACTGCACCATACATCAAGTGGTTGGAGCTTGCAACTTCGGGTTTGTGATTTAATAGCAATCTACGTTATGCTCTTTGTCACAAAACCGGCATAATTTGACCTTGAACACAAGCTAATGTCATCGAAACATGAATGTTACTTAGAAATATGGATGTTACTCTGTCGTGAGAAAAATGTCCCTTAGAACGTTTTTTCAAATTGATCAGTGCACTCTCATCACATGTGAAAGTAACTTACAAGAATTAAGCTGGACACAATTACCCGTCAATTTTATGTTCGCTTAGTTAAATCTATGCTTAACTTTATATCAACAAATGATTGTGTCTATCGATCATGGAATTTTAATTGTGACTCCCTATATTTTCGATAAATCATGAGTTGAGCCAAAAAACGTTTGACCTGAACAAAAAGTCGCGAAATAATCCGGCAAAAGTTGAGACTCCAAATAGCATGCCCTTTTCAGAATACCGTGAAAATTCACGAAAGCTCTTCAACTACAAAGAGAGACTGGTAGCTAAAGCTTTCTATCCATTGCTAAATCTTACCGTCCCCCAATAAAAAAGAAGGCCTTACTACTCACCGAGCTTGGACCATCTATCTAAGATGTCATGTCTGATTCTACTTACATCTCCAGTCTTCAGTAATAAGGATAGTAGGTCGGTGAACCTATGTTAATCCTAACAGATTGCCTTCCAGTGAAGGTCCAGTTTCTCCTTGAAAATATTCACTGATGGAGCTGATACCACTTGTTCGGGCAAGGCGTTCCAATCATTGACTACTCGATGAGGAAAACGGAACCCCACTTTAAGTTTATTAGATCGCGGTTTATGGACCTTTTTGCTATGACCTCGGAGATTATTAGTGCTGGAGGGAGCGAAAAGATAAGACGTATTAACACCCAAATCATAATTAAAGATACGAAATGCCAGTATAAGGTCACCTCGAGTCCTACGATACGACAAGGGGAAAAGGTTTAGGCATTTTAAACGCTCATCGTAAGGGAGTTTAGAAAGACCCTTCACTAATTTTGTTCCCACACACTGGACACGCTCAAGTGAGTTAGTATCCCTTACCAGACATGGGCTAGCTGCTTGGATACAGTACTCTAAATGTGGTCTTACATAAGTGGGATATAAAATTCGAAACATTCCCTCGTCAAAGGATTTGAATGCTCGGCGAAGTGACCATAACGCTCGTAAACCTTTGGCAGAGGCTGCGTTGCAATGCGTAGTTGTTTTTAGGTCATCACTCACTATTACTCCTAAGTCTTTATGTTCTTGAACGCATGGAAGAGGTTTACCATCAATAGTATAATGGTAAATATTGCCGTGACCGATGTGCATTAGCAAACTCTTCCTAGAATTTATTTCTAAACCCCAACCTCCAGCTCATCTAACTAAATCGTCTAAGTCAGCTTGAAGATCCAGATGGTCAGCCTCACTTTTTATTGTTCTCCAGATTTTTACGTCATCCGCAAATAATAATGTAGACGACCTAAGCAACAGCGGTAACTCGTTAACGTAGAGAAGGAAGAGCAGACGGCCTAAGATGGTGCCTTGGGGTACACCACTTTTGACCGGCTTCCGATCAGATGGCGTCCCATTGACCCTTGTAGAATTATGGTCTACTATGATATTAGCACTGCTCTAATAATAGACCTAATCCTAAAATTGTAGATTTATCATGATGTAACTGCCTAATCTATAAGATCTTACGTGGAAGTTACATCATCGTCTACATCAACTCATTGCACTGTAACAATTACCAATACGTGATAGAGAACAAGCTTAGGCTAGAGATGGAACAATATATTTAATATGAATAAAAGACATAAGATAACATTCAGCAGGGATCACGCCTGCAATGCCGGGCCATGCCATAAGATTAACTCATATTAATTCGATTTATTCTCCCGGCCTTCTCCATTCTTCTGTATTTCTCCGCGTTAAATGTTTAATGTCTATTTCTCATATTGTCTCGTTGTAGGGCCCAATGCCACTACACTACTCTCTCACCAGAATCAACGATATGTTGGTTCGATACCAAATTGTGTGGGATTGTCGCGCGCCGGAGGTTAGCACGAATAATAAGAATCTTTTGAATATTGATGAACTGAAAGATAAATCAAAAAGAAGGCGGTAGCATCTGGTCGGGAAACACAAGTAATAATTTTAAAGTGTCTGGTTTAATGCTTTACACGCTTAAAATGAAAACTTGGGCGGAGATTATTTGAGCTAAACAAAGCGGGATTACAATTATAATGAAATGACTCCGTATAGGGATA